CCCTCACAGGCTCAGAACAGTCCGGCGACAGAGCGGCCGCCTTGCTGACGTGCACACGCCCCTGCTATCTCTCAGCCCGGGGCCTCCCGGGGAATAGCGATAAGAACTGGGTGAGAGGAAACGAGGTTCCTGGAGCCTCGTGTCCTGCGGCAAAGGCCGGGCCCTGCCATCACCTGGGAGCGATGGCAGAGGACTTGGGGCCAGAGCACTGCCTGCCATTGTGCAGAGCTGGCAACCGCTTCCGGAGCTCTAGCCGCGCGTTAATAGCCAATGAGTTATTAATATTTAGTGCTGCGTGTTGGCAATGAGTCATGAATATTCCTTGACCACGAATGTTTGCTGCCTTGCGACTATGCGGTGGCTTGTTAGTATTCACCACGATGCTATTAATATTTGTTAAGGCATCATGAATATGAATTGCAGCTTTTCTTTTCTTCCTTTTTTTTTTTTTTTCTTTGAAACAGAGTCTACAGTGGCGTCGCCGTAGCTCACTGCAGCCTCCAACTCCCAGGCTCAAGCGATCCTCCTGCCTCAGCCTCCTGAGTAGCTGGGACTACAGGTGCAACACTACGCCCGGCTAATTTTTCTATTTTTAGTAGAGACGGGGTCTCGCTCTTGCTCAGGCTGGTCTCAAACTCCTGAGCTCAAGCGATCCTCCCACCTGGGCCTCCTGGAGGCTGGGCTGACAGGTGTGAGCCCCTGGCCGGCCTGGCCTGGCTCTTGCCGACTTGTCCACTGAATCACGTGCATTTTCCGAGGCCCACCAGGTCTCACAAGTTATAAATCTGTCCGTTTTCTGAGGCAGAACGCATGCAGTCGAGGACAGTGGCCGTTGTCACTTGCGGCGGGGGCCAGACCGAAACCAGGCAGTACTGGGTCACTGTTAGTATTTTGTGGCAGACAGGAGAGGAGGGAGCGGATTCCCCGTGGCGCGGTGGTGGCTGGGGCGGCTTAGCCCGGAGGCTGAAGCCTCTCTAGGGTCAGGTTTGGAGGGTCCCGGGAAGGAGGGGCGTCCCTGCAGAGGCAGACCCCGAGGCAGGGCGAGGCCGGCGCGGCGGCTGTGGGGAGGACGTGGCTGAGAGGACCCACATCCTGCAGCCACACCCCGTGGGGGACTCCTGGGTCTTGGCAAAGGAAAACAAGTGGCTTTTCTGTGTGCACTCGAGGAAGTGGGTTCCGGGGGACGGCGAAATCGCCACACAGCCCCAGTCAGGCAGCACTGACAGGTCTGGCGGTGGGGCGCCAGGCAAGGCTTCCAGAGAGCGAGCCCGGGTGTCACTCTGGGACCCTGTGGTGGCACCATGTCCCACTGGGGTAAATGTCCTCCACCCAAGCCCCATCCTATGCAAGCAGTATGTGGATGCGCTCCCCATCAAACGCCTGTTGGCACCAGGTGTGCCTCTGTCCAGGCCACCAGACTTTCCACCTGGACACTGCCCTTGCCTCTTCCCCTGCCCCGATTGTCCCGACCCCCTTGGTAGTCGTGGAGGACTTCTTTAATGCATAAATCGACCTAGTTCTTCCCCTGCTCAAACACCCTCCGTGGCTCCCCATTGCTCCTTACATGTAACACAGAGGTTCGTCATATTCTGCCCCATTCTACTCTCCCACCCCAACACGCTCCGGGAACCCACCATCAGCTCCCTCCTCTCCTGTTCCAAGCAAACCAGCCTCCTAACTCTGCCACTGACACCCTAAACCTGTGCCTACGCCAGGGCCTTTGCACGTGCTGTGCCTGCTTCCTGGAATGCCCTTCCCCCAGGAAGGGAATCTCCCATCATCCTTAGGGATTCTCCTGACCCCCAGGTTGGTCGTGTCCCCCGTGGACTCCTCCTTCCTCAGCAGCATTTACCACAGCACTGCCACCAGTTGTTAACGTCATGAACGTATTCATGTAATGAGGGCAAGGCTGACCCGGTCACTGTCCCCACACCTCTATAGCTCCTCATTGCCCCCAGGAAACAGCCCCACTTCTCGTCCTGGCATTCTAGGTCCTTACAGGGTCCAGGCCCTACTCCCCAACCTCAGAAATCACCTCTTCCCCAAATTCTGCTTCTCAACAAAATAGACCACACATGGTTCTTGGAATAGGACTTGTTTTCTTTTCCCTCCACACTTTGGCATTTGCTCTTTCCTCCACTGAAACTCCCCTTGGTGAACTCCTACACATCCTTCAAAGCCTCAGCCTCAGTATCCCAGTCTCTTCTTCTAGCCCAGCCCTGACCCTACAGGCGTCTGGCTCAGATCCCACAAACTTCAGAGCAAGAAGCTGTTTGGGTTTCAACACATCCAATCATTCCGTTTTTTACAATGTGACCTGGAGAGGGTGGGCAGCGGAATCTTGAATTGGGGGTGGGGGGTCAGAGATTTGTACCAAGGCCTGGGAGGGGCTTCCCATCAACCCCGCAGCCCCACCCAGCAAAGGCGCCGGAGTAGCTTGGAGGAGGCACTACCAAGACGCGACTCCCCCTTGGCAAAGCCGTCTCGGGACCCGGGCTGGGTCCCCAAGCCCCAGCGTCTCCCATTCTGCAGGTGCAGGGTCCCAGCCCCTCTGCCAGGACGGTCCACGAGGACAGTGGATCACTGCCTGGAGCACAGCCGAAGAGGCACCCAGTAAGGCTCACTGGTCAAAGCAGGGAGTCCTCAGCAAACTCAGCCTTGCTGAGCCGGAGGCCCGGAGGTTTCTCTCGTCGGCGCACGCGTGTGGCCGGCTCTCGGGACGGCAGCGCTTCCTGCTGCCGGTTGTAAGGGACTCTTGGCTCAGCGCAGTCTTTGGTGCGTGGAAAAGACAGAGGATTGTGGTCGCATTAATGAAGACACGGCCACCAGGGAGGCCGCACACGCCTCTCACCGCCCACCCTCCCTTGGGCTGCTCAGACCCCACCAAGAAGCTGAGGGAGTGAGGGAGTGAGGACCCTCCATTTAGAGAAACCACTGGGCCGGGCGCGGTGGCTCACGCCTGTGATCCCAGCACTCTGGGAGGCCGAGGCGGGCGGATCGCTCAAGGTCAGGAGTTCGAGACCAGCCTGAGCAAGAGCGAGACCTCGTCTCTACTAAAAATAGAAAGACATTAGCTGGGTGTGGTGGCACCTGTAGTCCCAGCTGCTCGAGAGGCTGAGGCAGGAGGATCGCTTGAGCCCAGGAGTCTGAGGTTGCTGTGAGCTAGGCTGGCGCCACGGCACTCACTCTAGCCCGGGCAACACAGTGACACTCTGTCTCAAAAAATAAATAAATAAAATATGTGAATAACAGACAAACGATCTGCTAAACACCGCATGGGATGAGTTTATAGAAACCTGTATATAGCACGGTTCCTCATCACCCCTGGTTTTCGTCCTCTAAGTGACCCTCACTTTGAATTTCCTGTCTGGCTTCCGGGTTGCGGTAGAACAGGTTTTTTCAACTTTGACGATGTTGCCATTTGGGGGAAGATACGGCGGCGGGGATCGCAGGGTGTCAGGTAACATTCCTGGCCTCCGTCCACTAATGCCATTAGCAGTCACACACCCCACCCAAGTCACGACAACCAAAAATGTCCCTAGACAAGTGTCCCCTGGGGAGAAAGAGTCAATGGTTTGTGAACCGCTGGTTTGCATTGTAAACTGCAGATGAATCACCCTCCAGATTTTCCCAAGTCTTATGTCCTGCATCTTTCTGTGTGTTTATGCCCAAAAGTCAGGTTCCCGGGGCACTGTCGCGCCCCAGCACCTGCAGCTCTCTGGTCCCCCGGCGTGGCCCCAGGGAACACTTGAGGCTTCTCTCATTTGATTTTATTTTTGGTGACTCGGTCTTTCTACTGGAGCCCGTGAGGTTTTTCCTATCTTATTTGGGGTCTCCCAGACCCATCTGGCAGAAGTCAAGCCCCTAGAACTGGCAGCCACACGACAGGCTCTGAGCCACCCCCAGGCAGGGGCCCTCAGCCGCTCAGGCTCAAACCGCTCATTCCTGCCTCAGGGCCTTTGCACCCACTGCCCCCTCCCCGGGACACCTTTCCACAGACCTCAGCCACCTGGCTTCTTGTCATTCACCTCTTTGCCCAAATGTCACCCAGACCTCAAATTCAAAACCAGCCGCCAGACCCCGTCTCCTCCACTGGTTTTTGTTCCCCCGTAGCCTTCCCTGAGTTACTCACTTAGCGTCTGCTCCCTCCTGAGCGTGTGGCTCCGCAGCAGCGGGGACTTCCACGCGTCCAGCACCTGCTCCCGACCGTGCCCTCGGCTCCCGGGAGGCGCCCCGTCAACATGGGCTGGAATGAATGAATGTGTGAATTCGTTCTGAGAGTCACTATTTCTTCAGGTGCCGTGGCAACCCAGCATTCGTTCATTTACTCCATGCGCATTTGTTGAGCACCTACTAGGTACCAAGCACCATCCCTGGGGCCGGGGATAGGGAGATGCACAAGCAACAATACGTTTTTAAAGTTTTACTATGTATTTGAGGCAGTGAGAAGTGCTATGGAAAAAGAGAAAAAGTGGCCGGGCGTGGTGGCTCACACCTACGATCCCAGCACTGTGGGAGGCTGAGGCAGGAGGATCACTCGAGCCCAGGAGTTGGAGGCTGCAGTGAGCTGTGATGACGCCACTGCACTCCACTGGGCCACAGAGCGAGACCCCGTCTCGGAGAAAAGAAAAAGTCGAATAGGGTGGGGGATCAGGAGCGCAAAGGAGATGGCGTGTCCTGCAGAGACGTCCCTAAGAAGGGTGCATTTGAGCAAAGGTGGGAAGGAAATGGAGGGGCGTGTGCAGAGATCCAGGGAGAGCGTTCCGGGCAGAGGAAACAGCCTGTGCCAAGCTCCTGGGGCAGGACCATGTCCAGAGTGTTGGAGGATGATGTCGCCACAGCAATACTTTCACACAGGGTCGATTCTTCCTGTTTTACATTGAGACTCGGAGAGGTCAAGCTCCCTTCTTAAGCTCACACAGCGGAACCTTTGGGGCGGGATCTGAGCCGTGGTTTGAGGCTGTACCTACATATCTGGCCCAAAAGAGAGAGGGGCGCGCATGTCGGAGATCAGGAAGTGAGGCCCTGTCCCCAGCTCCAACCCAGTTTGCGGCTCTGGATGAGAACAAGAAGCTGCCTTCTGTCTCGCTCTGAGGCGGGAGCTGGGGGAGGCTGCTCGGGGCTGAAGGGGCTCAAAGGACCTACTGACTGCCACACACTGTTCCAGGCGCTGCTGGGGAGGCAGAGACCCCAGTCAACACGAACACACCAAGGCAGCCTGAAGTAAGTGCTGAGGTTTACATATTCATTCAACAAACGCTCGTTGGGTGCCTACCAGCTGCCGGGCGCTAGGAACTCTTCATGTCCACACAGCCCCGTGAGCTGGGGACTGCTTAGATGCCCCTTACAGCTGAGGAAACCAGGCAAAGCGCACAGCCAGGATGCGGCGGGTTAGGGTTCGAACGCGGGAGTTGGACTCATGGGTGTGCTCTTGGGTACGGAAGTGTTCTGTACCTCTCTGGGTACGGTGGGTGCCAGTAAGTGTTTGCTGAATAGGTAAGTCCTGCCTTGAGTCTAATCTAGCAATTTTGTGCTTCACTGGAAGATAGCTCCCCATTCAGGGCTAAAGAACACAGATACCACCTTTCCAGAGAAAAAGGCATTGAGGGATTTCAGGGAAGGGACCTGGAAGGGAGATCAAGGGCTCTGTCTGGATTTGGCGAGGGAAAGTGTCCAGGAGGAGGAGTCATTAGAGCTGGGGTTTCAAAGGATATGTAAGAGTTCGCCAGAGAGAAACAGAATGAATTCACTTTTGTTCATAAATTCATCATACGCTCCCTGCCTCCGCCACGTGTCTGCCTGGTGCTGGGCGATACCAGAATCCCCAAGCTTCCCCCTAGTCAGGGGAAGACAGAGGCAGACACAGATGCCACCGTGGGATCAGGCCTGGGCCAGGAGGGACTCCAGGGGCCTGACAGGAAGCCAAGACTCGTCCTGAGGGTTCCTGGAGAATGGATCATTTGAGATGGAATTCGAGGGAGGCGTAGGAGTTGGCCAAGGAAAACAGCCTCGCTGGAGCCGCGCTGGGCCCGAGGGGTTGGTGAAGTGCCAGGGCCCACGCTCGGGTGCGAGGACCACGACAAACAGGAGGAGGGAGCGGCTGTGCGCGAAGCCCAGAAGCTCGGTGGCAGGGAGAGAGGAGGGACCCCAGCAGCTCCTGCTCAGCAGCTCCCGCTCCCTAGGGCGGGCTCGGGCCGTCTCTGAGCAGGAGCCTGACCAGATGGATCAGGTGGGGTGGGGGTTCTGGGCACGCTGACCCCGAGGGCGCCCACCTCGGCACAGCTGTTTCTCGGTTTTCCCCGTAAAATGAGGTGATGGTAGAAATATTTAATCCGCGGCGGGGTCAGGGCCAATATGGGTGGGGTGTTGAAGGGAGTCTTGCAAGGGGCGGAGGGAATAAGTGCGGGGCGAATTTCAGAATTTTTGACAACCCGAGCGGCCGTACAGGTGCAACCAGGTGTTGGTAGTTCCAGGAAAGCCTCCGCCCATCGGCGGCATTCGGCGAGCACTGTTCTCCCACAGGAACTGCCGCGGGGGCTCCCCAGACGACACCGGACCTGGGCCGGCCAGGATGAAATGTCCCCGGCAGCTGCGGCCTCCCCTGGGCCTTGCTCTGGCCGTGGGCGCCTTCGCTTTCCTCCTCCTGTTCGATCTGCACCGGCGGCCCTCCACCTGCGCGGTCTCGGAGAAGCCGCGGGCGACCCGCAAGACTCCGGCCTGGCCCACGCCGCCCGCCCGCCCGCGCCCGGCCCGGTGCCAGCCCAACAGCTCTGTGGCCGCGCACCCGGACTTCGCGCGCCAGCCGCTGCGCGTCCGCGACTTCCTGCTGCACAGGCACTGCCGCGAGTTCCCGCTGCTGCAGGACGCGCCGCCCGCCAAGTGCGCGGGGCCCGTCTTCCTGCTGCTGGCCATCAAGTCCTCGCCCGGCAACTACGAGCGCCGCGAGCTGGTGCGGCGCACGTGGGGCCGCGAGCGCCGGGTGCGGGGCCTGCAGCTGCGCCGCCTGTTCCTGGTGGGCACGGCCGCCGACCCCCTCCAGGCCCCCAAGGTCAACCGGCTGCTGGAGATGGAGGCGCGCACGCACGGGGACATCCTGCAGTGGGACTTCCACGACTCCTTCTTCAACCTCACGCTCAAGCAGGTGGGCTGGCCGGGGCGTCTGTCCTCCCTGCCCAAATTACCACCACCTCCTCTGAGGGACCTAGGGCACCAGGGGCCCCCATTGGCCCCATCCGGCCTCCCCACTGGCCTCGTGACCCGAAGCCCTCTTCCTCCAGGGCAGGCGGGGAGGAAGGCCACAGGGCCGAGGGCACCGGCGCAGATCTCAGTCTGAAGACACGGGTTTGAATCCGGACTCTTCCTCCTTCTTGCTGTTTGACCTTGGAGGAGTCCATTCACCTCCCTGTGCCTGGGTTTCCGCACCCGGGAAATGGGGTGGGAATTAGAGCCACCCGCCCGCGAGGGCTGCGGCGAGGATTACGAGAGGCGGCACCTATGAGGTGCTGGCCCAGCGCCTGGCGCTCGGCTCACCTTGGCCATGACGCGGGTACGTCTCCTCATTTATTGCTGCTGGCCTGGCTGCCCGTGAGGCTGGCGTCTGTGTCTGTCCCCTCGCCTCTGCGTCCCTAGTGCCTAGAACAGACCCTGGCGCACAGGCGCTCCGTGAAGACCTTTCTGATGGACGAGAACCCACGAAAGGCGAGAAAATCCTGCCTGTTGGCAGATGAGGAGCTGGAGGGTCCGGGGACCCACCCCAGGTCCCCAGGTGGGGCAAGCCGAGCAGAGACGGGCCGGGGCTGCAGCGGGGGTTCCTGCTCGGGGTGGGCACGGACGGGCGGGGCCGAGGCCTCTTGTGCTCTTCTCTGTGTGTGACTTTGCTCAGTGCACTTTGCTGCATTCTCTTATCTGCAAATACGGGCCACACCTGCCTCCTAAGGCGGCATCCAGTGTCAAGGTAAGGCAAGGGCCACGCGCCGTGCCCAGCACGGAGCAGATTTCCAGTCTGCGTAGGTTATTGTGGGGGAAGCTGAGGCCGAGGCGGGCAGAGGGCCAGGATCTCTCAACACGCCGGGTTGTTAAAACACAGAAGTATGTGATAAACATCAACTTGACAAGCAGGAGCCCAGCCCCTAGGAGGCACCGTCCCCACACTGGGTGCTGGCAAGATGCGTGAGTGGGAGAGACGTAGCCCCCACTCGGGGGGAGTCCGGTGGGGGAGGTAGGTCTTAAATAGCAATCACACACGTCGTTATTAACAACAGGGCTTGCCCAGGCAGAGTCGGGAAATATCACAACAAATGTAAATGTGACAATTTTCAAGCATGTCTTGGTGCTTTACAGAGCACTGTCTCCATGGACCCCCAACACTCCTGGAGGCACGTTCTGTGACGAGGCCTGTTTGGAGAGTTGGAAACTGAGGCACAGAGAGGGTTTCCCAGGTCACCCCACAGGGCAGGGCCTCAACCCCAGGCCTGACTGGGGACATGTCCTTTCCTGGGCTCGCTGGGCTGGGGCGGCCACTTTCTCCAGCCCTCAAGCCAGCGTGCCTCACTCGCCCGCCCACAGGTGCTGTTCCTACAGTGGCAGGAGACAAGGTGCGCCAACGCCAGCTTCATGCTCAACGGGGACGACGATGTCTTTGCACACACGGACAACATGGTCTCTTACCTGCAGGGCTGTGACCCGGGCCACCACCTCTTTGTCGGCCATCTGATCCAGAACGTGGGCCCCATCCGGGCTCAGTGGAGCAAGTACTATGTGCCACGGGTGGTGACTCAGGAGGAGCACTACCCACCCTACTGTGGGGGCGGGGGCTTCCTGCTGTCCCGCTTCACGGCTGCCGCCCTGCGCCGGGCCATCCGTGTCTTGGACCTCTTCCCCATTGACGACGTCTTCCTGGGGATGTGCCTGAAGCACGAGGGGCTGAAGCCCGCCTCACACAGCGGCATCCGCACAGCCGGCGTGCTGGCCCCCTCTCAACGCCTGTCTTCCTTTGACCCCTGCTTCTACCGGGAGCTGCTGCTGGTGCACCGCTTCCTGCCATATGAGATGCTGCTCATGTGGGATGCGCTGAACCAGCCGGACCTCGCCTGCGGCAAACGGACACAGGTCTACTGAGGCAGCCTCGGGGTCTCCAGCCTCTGGGCTTCTGTCTCCACCCCCATATGGAGGGGCAGCACCTTCCTCCCGGGAAGCTGAGATGCTTGCCCTCCTAAGTGAGCCAGGCAAAGGGGAGTGCCAGGGAAGGTTTGATGAGTGAATATTCTGGCTGACGAACTCCTACACATCCTTCAAAACCCACCTGGTGCTGCTCTAGCATCCGCCCTGGATGGACGGAGGAACCCTGAAAATGTCATCTCCTTTCCATGGCAGCTAATGGCGGAAGCACCTCTGCTAGGGTTCCAGCTGTGGATGCATCCATCCTGTTTAGATCAAGGTCCCACTTCCCAGCCCTGACCTTAATCACAGACTAGACCCTAAGCAGTGGCCCGCTTCTGTTGGTAGTGAGCCCGCCGTGGTTTCCTGGTGGATGAGTTCTGGCCATGCTTCAAGGCCAACCAGAAACTCCTGTGCCCACGTACGGCTGAAGTGAGAAATACTTTTCAGCCCAACAGAGAGGGGTCCTGATCCCAATCCCTTCGTGGGTCTTGGACCCCTCAGATGGCAGGAGGGGACAGAGAGGCCATGGAATGGGACCATCCCCTCATTGCTTGTGGTATCAAGAGCTTAGATGGCCTAAGTGTTGGGCAGAGGAGGGAGGCCCCTGGCCATTTGAGGTCTGGGAGCTCAGAGTTCCTGGAGTCCCGAGCAGGAATCAGCCCCATGTCTGTGCTACTCAAGAACTCCAGGGACAGCGCTGGGCTCAGAGGGGTCTCCAATGGGCCCAGGGCCAGTTTGCACACAGCCCGCTACCCAGAGAAGAGGGAGATTTGGGTCCTCAGGTGGCCCCCACCCCAGTGCGTTTCACGGATTGGAGAGGTCCAAGTGAGCCGGGGCCCCCCTGCGGTCCCCACCACGGCACCTGGGACTCAGGCTTCACAGGCATTGCGGTTGAGGGAAGGGTGTCTAGGGATGGGTCCTCAGGGAATAAAATGTTTTGTGAAGACATAGAGATTTTTTTTTTTAATCAATTTATAAGTTCTAATAGGGACTCGTCTACATGCGTTCCTAAAAGGCTTGTTTGCAGTAAGAAATATCTACGAATCAGAACAGGGCGTGGAGGAGGCAGAGGCTGCAGGGGTTTCCATCAGGCAGATCCGATCTCATCCCACCCCTGCTCACACACCCTCCGTGGTTCCCTACTGCCCTCGGCTCATACCCTCCGAGATGGGTTCTTGCCATTGGCTTGTCAGCAGGCTCAGGAGTGAAAGTCACAGGGTGGGACACACAGCCTTCCAGCAGGGTCCCTTCCGAATCCCATCCCGGCCACCACGCAGCCTCACCAGGCTTGCCATCTCCTGCTGGGACTACGGCTCTGCCACTCTCTGTCCCTTGTCCTTTCCTTCCTTCCACAAGTATTTATTATGCACCTGCTGTGTGCTACACACCTTGCCCTGTACTTCTCCTCCTTCCCAGGTGAAGAGTCAGCGACATTGACCCACGTTATAGCGAGGAGACGAGTCTGTAGATGATCAAATAGGAAGTAAGAACTTTGAAGAGAATTAAAATAAAGCGACAGAAACACGGTGATGGGACAAGCACTAGCTGGGAGCTCAGGGAGCCAGGACTACGGAGGTGATGTTTGAGCTGAGGCCGGAAGAAGGAGGATGTGACCTTGGGGAGAACTGAGAGAGGGGCATTCTGGGCGGAGGGCACAGCACGTGCAAAGGCCCTGAGGTAGGATGAGCGGGGAGTCTTGGAGGCACAGCGGGAGTGAAATAAGGAAAAGATGGAACGAGGGAGGACGGGGTGGGGTCACACAGGCCTGGCCAAGCAGGGCCTTACGGGCTGCATGAGGAGAGGGGGTTATTTTGAGGGTCATGGCACCTTGGCAGCAAGGAGATGACGTGATTGATTTTTAAATTTTAAGAAACTGAAAATGGCTGCCGTGGGGATGTGCCGTGGGGAGGCTGAGGCAGCAGCCAAGCAAGAGAATCGGCCCGGATGAGGTGGGGGCTGCAGGGGCTTCTAACAGGCGCATCTGATCTCAGCCTACCCTGCTCACACACCCTCCGTGGCTCCCTCTGGCCCTCGGGGGAGAGTCCCAGCTCCCCTGCTGCCCTGGGTTGAGTAGCGCCCCACAGGAACTCATGTCCGCCTGGACGTGGATTGGAAATGGCGTCTTCACAGATGCGGTTAAGGGAGAGATCGAGGTGCGGTTATCCTGGACTAGGGTGAGACCTAAGCCCAATGATCGCTGTCCCTAAGAGACAGGAAAGGAGACACAAACACAGAAAAGGCCATGTGACAGCGGAGGCAGGGATTGCAGTGACACAACCACAAGCCAAGAGTGGCCAGGAGCCACCAGAAGCCAGGAGAGAAGCCTGGGACAGATCCTCCTTCCAACCTTGCTGACACCTTGGTTTGGGCCTTCTGGCCTCCAGAACTGTGACCGAATAAACTCCTGTTGTTTCAAGGCACCCAGTCTTTGGTCATTTGCAACAGCAGCCCTAGAAACTAAGTGAATGGGTCACATAGCCAAATGCTTCATTAGTCTTACAAGGGGGTCATATCATACAATCCCCATCTCAAGGTGAAGGGAGGATGCAGTGAGAAACAGCTGAGGTTGGATCAATAAATGTCTGCTGTGATCGTCATTCAGACATTTGTGTGTTGTGTCCATCCTTCTAGGGCCTTGGTAGAGACCCGGGTTCCAGTCCTGCAATTAGCCATTCCCTCTCCCTGGGCCTCCGTTCCCCACTTTGTACTATGTTGTTAGCAAGCTCCTGGAAGTGTTGGCATGTTCATGGCTGCTGGGGACACGCTCACACAAGGGCTGACCAAGGCTTGCCCCTTTTTCTAGAGCAAATGCGAGAAGCTGCTTTGGATTATTTATTTCCTACTGGGGAGACAGTGAGAAGGGGCGTCACACGTGCAGGGAAGGCAGCGTCTGGGGCCCCTCTGCGGGGAGGGCATTTCCCCCGTGTCTGGCGGCTCTGTAGAAGTGGGAAGCCTCCAAGCCGTGGTAGGGGTGTGCTTCATTCCCCAGTTGACTCCACAGAGGGCTGGTGGCACCGGCACGGGGTAGGTGGTGAGCTCCCCGACCCGGGGGGTAATTAACAACGTCCCCCAGATGTGGGACTTTATGGTGCTGTGTGGCCTCGGGAGCTCATCGGACCCAGACCCCTCTGGGCCTTGGGCTCCCCTGAGACTGCACCAGGGAGGGGTCAGTGGGGACAGAGAGTCAGCAGGTCTCGTCGGCCGCAGCCGCTGAGACAGCAGCGGTGAGCGGGGTTGGCGGTAGCTGCCCGGTGGTGGCGATGACGGTGAGAGGCCTGGGGCAGGGGTTGTAGGCCAGGTGCCAGCGCAGGGTCACTGTCGGCCGCCGGCCCGTGGAGCAGATGTCGTCTCTCCAGCCACTGTAGCAGTTCACCTGGGGACAGAGCAGAACTCAGTGGGAACGGGGACCCCAGAGGACAGCCCCGTGCCATGTGTGCACACATCTGCCCACTCACATCCCACCGAGCAACCCGCCAAATGCTCGACATGGGCGCAAATAGAAAACAGTGTGCACTTCATAAGCTCCTACTGTATGCCAGGCACCTATTTAATGCCCTCGTGTATTCTCAGTTTATGTCCACACTCGTGTCCCCAGCGCATGCCACCTCCGTGCCCTGAGCCCTGCCCAGGGAGCGCCAGGGCTCCTGAAGCTGCAGATGGTGTCGGTTTCCCAGCGAGTCCGAAGGCCAGTGAGGCACCCACACCTGGTCACAGACGGACCCACAGACGCCTCACGGTGCAGAGGTGGCAGGTGACACATACATAAGTGTGTGTGCAGGAAGGAGATACACACAGGGACACACCCTTGCAGGCCCCGTCTCCTGGAGCCCTCACCCCATTAGTGGAGTGTCACGTAGAGGCATGAGGACACCCACATGTGTGATGCGTGTGCACACAAACTTGTCTCAGACACTCTGTGCCACGGCCAGGACTAGGCGAGAAGCCAGAGCGACGCAGAGCTCAGCCGGGCACGGCCACGCCTGTGACCCTGCACTCCGGGAGGCCGAGGCGGGAGGATTGCTTGAGGCCGGGAGTTTGAGACTAGTCTGGGCAACATAGTGAGACCCCATCGCTGCAAAAACATTTTTTTAATTAGCTGGGCGTGGTGGCGCACACCTGTAGGCCCAGCTACTCGGGAGGCCGAGGCTGCACTGAGGTGTGATGGGGCGCTGCACTCCAGCCTGGGTGACGGGCCAGCTCCCATCTCAAAGGCCCACAGCAATCAAGATACGTATTTTAATGCAATACTTTTAAAAATCAAAATGAAGACAAAAGTTCTTGAAGATAAAAATATTGACTTTTTTTTTTCGAGACAAGGTGTTGCTTTGCTGCCCCGGCTGGAGCGCAGCGGCGTCATCGCGGCTCACTGCAGCCTCCCACTCCTGGGCCCAGCGGCTCCTCCTGCCCCGCCCTCCCGCAGTGCTGGGGTTACAGGCGCTCATCACCCCGCCCAGCCAAAATACTGACATTTTAAACAGTGACAGGATCCCACCGTCACTTACAGGGCTCTGCCTCGCTTGCCTCGTCCTGTTTCTGGCGGGACAGGGGGCGAGTCCTCCGAGGACTTTCACGCCTGCGCGTGCGCCCGCGTGCACTTACCCCACCTAGGCTCCCCAGAGCGCAGTCCCCGCCCGCCCCCACTCACGGTCACCGCCAGCCACCGGCCTCCCGGCCTCGGGGGACCAGCGCGGGCCCCCGCACAGGCGCACGAGCGCGCGCACGAACTGGTGGCCGCACAACTTCTCACGCGTCTCCAGGGAAGGCGTGGGGCCCAGCGCGAAAACCAGGGCAGGACCCAGCAGCAGCAGCACCCAGACGGACAGACGGGGGTCCATGGCGGCGGGAAGTGCCTGGCCAGGGCGGGGACCCCCCTTATAGGCGCCTGGGCTGCCCCAGCTGGGGACCTTGGAATGGGGACAGAGCATTCCGCAGGACTGCCCAGGGGGAGGGTCCAGGATGGGGTCAGTGATAGGGCTCCTCTCCCAGGGCCAGGGCCTTGGACTTACCTCCCCCAAGAGGAGCACTGGGAGAGGAGTCTGTATTTATTTGGTTTTCTTTATTTATTTTTAACCATTTTAAAGAGGTGAAATAGGCCTGGAGCTGGGCTCACGCCTGTAGTCCCAGCCCTTTGGGAGGCCGAGGTGGGAGGATCGTTTGAGCCCAGGAATTTGAGACCAGCCTGGGCAACATAGCGAGACCCCGTCTCTACAAAAAAAAAAAAATAAGAAAAATCAGCGGAGCGTGGTGGTGCGCATCTGTGGTCCCAGCTATTTGGGAGGCTGAGGCAGGAGGATTGCCTGAGCCCAGGAGTTCGAGGCTGCAGCGAGCTATGATCGTGCCACTGCACAGGCAACAGAGAGAAACCGTGTCAGAAAGAAAGAAAGAAAGAAAGAAAGAAAGAGGGGTGAGAAGGAAGCAGGGAGTGATGGAGGGAGGGAAAGAAAAAGAAAAGAAAGGAGGTGAAATAGGTAAACTGAAAAAATAATAACCCTGCATCTCGTGGGGGGCAGGAGTGGCCATCTTCAGAGACCAGGAACATTCAGAGCCTTGCTGTCCCTATCGCTGCACAAATAAGGGAACAGGCGCAGCGAGGGGCCCCAGAGGCCGAGGCCACAGGGAGCTGAGCAGAGCCCAGGTCTGGCGAAGGCGCCTGACACCAGGTCTGGGGTCTCCTCAGGCCGGGCAGAGGCGGGCGGCCCCAAGCAGAGCAGAATTTGTTTGCTGACCACCTGCCTGGCGACAGCTTGGTTGTCTAGGGGGGACTTACCGCTCTGTTTTACCAAGGTGGGAAACTGAGGCTGAGAGAGGGGAGGATACTCGACCCAACGCAGGGAAGAACCTGGGACAGACCCCAGAGCAGCCCCTTCCCACTTTCCACCAAATCAGGGTCCTTTCTGGGGGTCAAAGAACAGGGACAGAGATCTCTGTCTCTCTCTGTCTCTGAGTTTCTCTCCACCTTCATCTCTCTCGGCTTCCGTCTGTCTCTGTGTGTCTCGCGCAGGCGGGGTGCGGCGGGGCCTGGCCTGGCCTCAGTGATGTTGGTCCCCTCCCCCAGCCTGGCCTTGCCCTCCAATCCCCCAGAACAGCTTGTTCCTTCCACCCACAAAGAGCAATTAGCACCCCCAGGCTGGAGCCAAGGCCAACAGCTGGGGCTGGGGGGAGGCGGTCTGTCCTCGAGGGCCCCAGCCAAGGCTCCACCCAGCTGTCCTTCCTCCCCCCGCCTGCCCTGAGGCCCCCACGGGGACGCCCAAGAGGTCTCAGCCTCTAGCCCTAACCCATCCCACTTGCTCACAGACCCCGTGACGCTCCCCATCGCCCCAAATCCAGCAACAAACCATCTTTTCCACTGAATTTCTTTATTCCGTCAACAAACGCTCCCAGAGCCCCATCTGTGTCCACCCTGTGCTGAGGCCTCAGCCCAGCCCCCAAGAAGCCCCCAAGTCAAGGAGGACAGAGCTGGACACAGACACTGCCCCAGCCCCAGGGTCAGAGTTGGGCTGGAGGAAAGGACAGGGCTGGGACAGTGGTGGGAAGGCTGCAAGGATGTGACAGCTGGGGTTTTGAGAGACAAATAAGAGTTTTCCAGGGAGGCAAAAGTGGCAGAAAAGTTTTGCAGGCAGGTGAGAAGGGGCAGTGGGAGCTTAGCCTCACAGGATGCCTCGCACCAGCCTCAGGAAGTTGACTCTGCACAGCCAAGGAGCACGCTCTGCCCATTTTACTGGGGAGAGACCTGAGACCCCAGAGAGGGAAAGCAACGTGCCCACCAGCACGCGTGTAAGCGGCAAAACCCTGGGCTCCAACACCTGGGCTGTCAACCTCCTTCCTCTGAGCCTCCTTACCCTGGACTTGCTATTCCCTCTGCCTGGAATGTCTGTCATTGCCTTGGCTGTTCGGGAAGCTCCCATCAGGCTCTGTGCCATCGCTTTGTGACTCTCGGAGGGGCAGGACAAAAAGGGCCGGGTTGCACGGGATCCCAAACAGACACATGGGCTCCCCCAAAGAGCAAAGTCCCAACCCCTACAACTGCTCTTGTCCTTGGCTTCCTCCGGGGAAAGAGAGAGAGGGCAGAAGTCTGATGTCATATACTTAAAGCTATATTAATGTCCCTATCGGAAATAAGACAGGAGACTCCAAGCCAGGTGCAGTGGCTCAGGTCTGTTGTCCCAGCTACTTGGGAGGCTGTGGTGGGAGGATTGCCTGAGCCCAGGAGTTGGAAGCCAGACTGGGCAACATAGTGAGATCTTGTCTCTTTAAAAAAAAAAAAAAACGAAGGAAAAGAAAAAAAACTCAGGGGGATGGGACAATGGGAGGGGCTTGGCCAGGGCCCAGGAGGTCCCACTGGCCCACCTGTCTTGAATCTTTACAAATTCCAAAGGCCACCAAGCTGCTCCACAAGCCAAGGGAGCCCCCCAAATGCAATGTCATTTGCCACATGGGGGTGTCCCTCAAGCAGGGGACCCTCATGAGGCCTGAGGCCAGAGAGGGGCACTTCCCTGCCTAAGGTCACACACACAGCCAGTTAGTAAAGACCGAATCCAGAGGTTTGTGTGCAGGAGCTATAAAAATGACAGGGCGTGGGGTTTGCCCTCCAGATGAGCAGGAAAGACCTGGGTCTCACAGCCAGCTGCTACCCCCGGCTTCCGCCCCACAGCGCCTCCAGCTGGGGGCCCAGGGCACTGAATGACGGCCGGTCCTGGGGGCTAGGGGCCCAGCACAGCTTCATGAGTTCGTGAACCTGCGGGGCGGGGGAAGAAAATGGGGTCATGCCTGAGCCGTCGGAAGGACATGACTCCCATTCACAGGTTTTAAAACATAAATGAGATTCCATCCCATCTCTGCTCCACAACCTCCCATGGCTCCCTATGGATCTTAGAACAAAATCAACAAAATCTCAACCCTTCCCTCCATCACTTCCCTCCAACCACACCACCCCCTGCTACTTGTTCCACGCAGCCACACCTGCTTCCATCTCACCGTGAGTTAAAGGCACCAAGTTCATTCCCACCTCAGGGCCTTTGCACCTACTGTGTCCTCCACTGGGAATGCCTCCTCCTGGCTTTATTCATGGGCGGGCTCCTCCTCCTCCTTCAGGCATCACCCCCTGCGAGGCCCTCTTCAGTCACCCCACTCCACCCTCCCCCTGCTCCTCTCTTTCAAGTCACCTGTCACTACCAGAATGTTCTTACTAGCCACCGCTGGTTATGGGAAGACAGGCTAGTATCTCTTGTCTCCCCTGCTAGGTCCCCAGCGCCCACGACAGGACTGAGTGGGTTGATGTATGAATGACCAGCTGCGTGACAGACACTTCCACAAAAGTCACGATTATCAACCCTAAGCGTCACCACCACTTACAGAGCGCCAACTGTGTGCAGGGCTCTGAGCTGAGCAACCATAGGCATTAACTAGTCTGATCTTCCCCCACCCTGTAAGGCATTATAATTCCCACTGTGGAAATGGGTAAACTGAGGCTCCAAAAGCGTCACTGACATATCACACGATGAAAAAGCGGCCAGGTCGAGCCAGTATCACGTTGGGCCTCACACTCGCAGTCAAGAGACAGGGCAGCCGAGAGGCCCAGAGAGAAGGGCCAGCTGGCTGGCCTGAGACTCCAGCCGAATCTACGGGTTGGGAAACTGAGGCTGGCCCTGCAGTGCTCACCTCAGCAGGGCAGGCAGGAGGCGCTGGCAGCCTCTGACCCTCCTCCAGCAGTTCCAGGAGGCGACAGAGGGCAGGGGCATCTCGCTCACAACCCATCATCCGCAGGAACTCCTGGGGCCAAGGGAGAGCACCGTGGTGGGGGAGGGGTCCCCATGATGCAGGGGGCGGGGCTGCCAGTGGTGGGGGTCGGCATGGCGAAGGAGGGTCCTCCCCACCGAGGCCTGCGATGCTGGGACCCGGGGGACCCCAAGCTAAAGAGGGACGCAGGCGCGGACAGGTAGAGAGTGGCCACGAAGGGGCTGGGGAGCAGGAGGCCAGGGGTGCAGCGTGCCTGGACTCACGGCTGAGGGGCTGCAGCTTTTGTCGCTGTAGGTGAAGAGCTCGTACAGGACGACCCCGAAGCTCCAGACGTCTGACTGACGGGAGAAGATGTTGTCCGAGAGGGATTCGGGGGCGTACCTGGCGCGGGACGGGAGGGTCTTGAAACGCGATGGTGGGGCAAAGGACAGGAAGGGGCTGCCTCGGAATGGGGCACCGGTCAGCTGTGAGATGGTAGTTCCCAGCCCCAGGGGCTCAGTTACCCCAGCTGTGGAATGGGTGGGTTCTCAGCCCCTGTGACATGCCTGGGAGGCGGGGCCAGCGCTGGGGGCGGAGCTGAGGTGGAGCCAGGAAGGATGGAGGGCGCGGACCCAGAACTCTGGGCGGGGCTAGGCAAATGAGGGGAGGGCCGGAGCTGGGAAAGGGCGGGGCTAAGGCTGGGGCGGGGCTGGGGTGGAGCCAGGGCAGAGGGGCGTGGCCAGGACGCTGGGCGGGGCTAGACAGGATGAGGGGGAGGGGCCGGAGCTGGGAAAGGGCGGGGCTAAGGCTGGAGGCGGGGCCGAGACGTGGGGGAAGGAGCAGGGCCCCCGCGTGGGTCCCCACCAGAAGATGGGGCTCTGGCCGGGCTCGCGGACCACGTAGTAGTCTTTGTCGAGCGGCAGCAGCTTGGCCAGGCCGAAGTCGGCGATCTTGACGTGCGCCTCGCTCTCCACTAGGATGTTCCGGGCGGCCAGGTCACGGTGCACGCAGCGGCGGGAGCCCAGGTACTCCATGCCCTGCGCGCCGCGCGGGGTGAGCATGCAGAGGGACCCCGGGACGATCCGGCGGGGACCCCAAGCCTGACTTGGCATCTAAGCCC